AAATATCGGATCGATAACCATTTTACTCATGCCTACGTTTACGTAGAGTTAGTTCATAAATAAAATTTTAAAATCAACGACGGTTGAAAAACTATCTCAATTTACACAATACGAAAGACGACTATTTAAAATCCGAAGCATTTCCCGAGCCATGAGTCGACTTGCGACATAACAATAATATTTTACGATTAGAACAAGACCACCCCATCCCCACCTTCCCCCTTAACGTCTACTCAACCCACCACCTTTAGGGCCACTGATCGTATAATGAATTAAGTACCGATAGAACAACTAATTTCTTCGGAGCTACGAGCGAGGAAATATAAACCTTATTACCTCAGCATCAAGTCTTCACTGATTTGCTTGTTACATTTGCAAAATATCAAAGCGAAGTGAAAGCATTAGCAATTATAATAGCTACTGTCCTATAAGTGCCTGCTCATTACCTAGCGTTCAAGATGTCCTTTATCGATTAATTGATCATGATGCTGGTGTAAGCACGTAAAGTAAAATTTGTATTTTGAAATGTGGAGATGAGAGTAATGTTGAATTACAGTAGGTAGTTAATACTGACAAAGTTAATTTGACTTATTTTTATTTACAGAGTATTGAATACTAGTTTCTACTTTTTACTAGTAGAATTTGGGGAAAATGATCGAATCTTTTATATAATTAGAAGTCGATCACAAATCAGCTTGATTAAAGATGACAGATTCTTTCTACGCAAATCAACTATTAATCAAGCATCGGACTGCAATTTTTTTTACTATTGAAAGGGTCTTGCGATTGGTCAAAATCTCACCTGATGAAAAGCGATGATGTGTCTAAGTTGGGGCTCATGAGCTCACAAATAGCCTATTCACATTTGACTTAAATTGGTGCAGATTATATTTAAATGAAAAAACATAAGTAGGGTGAGTTCGACGCTTTGGCCGTGTACATTATGAAGGACAAATAGTACCTACCCAATCGTAGACTATAGATATAAAGAATGCTACCGTATGGTGTCATAACATACGAGTTTGTGCAGCAGCGTATACATCTCATACGCTGCAATTACTGAGAACTAAGGTGCTATGCGGTTTAAAGATTGGATACGACTAGCGATATAATACTTCAAAACAAAATAAACAAGTACTGTGTGGTATTGGCGTTTTGCGATAAAAATGTGTAAGAAATAAATATAATTTAAGATCATGCTCATTTTTTTTAAGAAAGTTACCATTTACTTTTAAATTAAGAGATTCCAATTCGCAAAACATCACACACTATTCGCCGAAATCCGATACTCTCACAATTAGTGGCATGTTTACACAACACTTACCACATTTGTTACGCGTTCATCAGTTCTCACGTTGGAAGTGACTGCTCGAGTTTCTAATATCCTCAATGTTCCTAATTTAATGGAATTGTTGTATGATATCAAAATCTATTCTTGATACTTTAACGTAGTATCTATTGCTATTATTCGATGTATCCCGTGACTTTCCCCACGTGAAATAGAATATAAAATAGCTTGTTGGGATATAACCTATTTATGTAGGTATTATTTCTTTATTTAACTCTTTATTATACTTATTTATTATACAATGACAATTAGAAATATCAATTGAAATATAAATCAAGTAGCGTAAAGTAGAGATCAAAATATGGATATAAAGACACAAAAAGGATCTTATAGCCAAGGAAATTTCTTATAGATAATCCCTGATTAATGAAGAACAGATAGAAGTCGTCTCTTAGTAACTTTTTACGATAGGAAAGGAAGGGATTGTATATTCTATGCTAGGACCACACGACCATAATAATAATTATTATGTTGTATGATAATTAACATTTTGTCAATCACAACACCCTGTATCGCTTGGTGTAAATATTTGAGTAATTAGATTAAGAACGGTAGCAGTTATTCGACACCAAATAACACCCGAGACGCAACACAGTCACAGACGACCACAAAATTAATAATAATACACTTTGTGTTGTTACAAGCTGTCGGCACTTAACGTGTGTCATACGATCCGAATCACAGTCGACACCGGTTACACTAATATACACTCTATTAGCTTGTAATAGTGGCTATGCAAGACATTACTTTGATGAGGCGGCAAAAGTGACAGATTTAAACGTGTAACAGCCTGAAAACATAGTTTTACTAAAAATGTTTAGTGAAATTGAGAAGGTTGTTCATTGGCGGCAAGTTAATAACTTCTTGTCGCCTGTCAAAGTTGATTTCATACATGCTCACGAGGTGGAACTAAACAGACGTAAAAACGGAACTGTTGATGTTTTTTGTGTAAATAAAGAACATGATAAAAAAGTGTCTTTAAGAGAGTGTATCTATTTTAGATATAGGTGCAAGTGTATGAGCATTAATTTATTTATATGCTTTTGTATATTCACTTATAATGTAGATATTAGATTATAACAAAAATGTACACAGCCGGATTTATCCCTTAAATGTTTTTTTTTTCCAGTCAATTTTGAAAATCCGACAGAAAAAAGTATCTATAGGATTAGCATTTCTATGAACATATATAAAAATCATATTGCAGTCTTAACAATGTATTAACGAATTGGTTTTGACATTAAATGTTATTCAGTAAATCCGAAAATTCTCTAATAGTAGATATTTACTCGTAAAACACGTATTAAAACTACTGTTGAGGTTTTTCCAATAGTCTACTGCATATGGTAATTCAAAAGAGGGGTAAAGAGGTTTCTTCAGGACGGGCAACCTAGTGTTGCAGGCGTTCATAGGCTACTGTGACCACTTACCATCATGGGCCGTAAGCTTGTTTGCCATTTCAGTGATATAAACAAAATGTAACAAATGTTGTAAGGTTTGCTTATAGTGGAATATAGGGAATGTAATTGGTAGCAGTACCTAAATAAAGATGAGTAGATAAGCTGGTGATAATAGATAATGTATCAACGACCTATTTAACATATTGTGTACTGAGACTATATTGCAAGATGCAAGCAATATGTATTTATATTGTGAGTCTTATTATATAATAAAGTTTCGATTAGGTCATGTACCATTGTGGTCGAATTCACCTTCTCGAATTACAATCACCCTAATTTTTAAATTAAAAATGGCGGCAATTAAACAATACGTAAACGGCCATCTCAGTCAATGTCATTGTTTTAGAAACAATAAAACAGCGCGGCCATGATGGCGAAATGTCAAATCTGCTCACGAATTCCTCCCCGCGGCGTTTCAAATATGGAATTCCCGCGTAGAAATGGCGGCGAAGGTAATTTTTACAAATGGCTGCCGGGCGGGGAGTCAGTCAGGTGGTTTGTTTTCTGCGGAGCGCTTTTCATAGCCTGCTAGGGTTGCAAAACACATTAGGGCTTGCCACTACAACAACGTAAGCCACTTTCATCAGACTCGAGTCACATAACTATAGCAACCATCGTGGCCTATCGACACCTATATCGTCACAACATAACGAGTGACGTAATTAAGCACGCCAACCCAGTTATATATCTGTGTCTCGACCTCTATAATTTGCATTTAACAGGATATTTTCTAAAACCTCACGTCCTAAGCAAATTTTCTACGATCAATCGAGAAGGTTTCATACCAAGCGGCAGGTAATAAAGTTCCGACCGTAGCTATATAGGTAGAGGGTTGAACTTCCGATAGCTAATATATCGCTATATGATTTATGGTTTTGGTTGGGTCGAGCGGCTGCGCGGTGACGTTTGGTGTTTGGCGGATTCATTACTGAAACAAAGGCGGGGGTGAGTGTAGCGGGGTGCAACTAGAGTTGAGGGGGGATGGAGGCACACGAGGGATATCTCCCCGCGTGATTCCCACATCCACCTTCTAGCCACTTTCCTAAATCACTAGCAAAATAACGTGTTGTAACGTAGGAAATGCGCTTCAAAGGTGTTCAATTTTAGCTAAACGAAAGCGTCGGTTAAGTACCTACTCATATATTTACGTGTAAACTAATTTTAGAAAAACAAATATCAACATGGTTATTTTTTGTATAGCTATACAAAATACAAAAGGTAAGTACATCCAAAACTCTTATTAACAGAACATGCAAGGTTTGATTGAAATAAACTAAAGGCGTGATCAAAATGAAAGTATTTGTCATGTTTTACAGAACAAGAAAATAGAGGTACTTACTTTCATAATTTTGTTATTTAATAAAGCTAACATACTCAGATTTTTAGTTGTACGCAATAAAATTATGTACTTACATTGTTGTCAGTATACATTAGGTATTAAAAAACAATCAAGTGATGTAAATTATTGGGTTTGCACAGAAAACAGCAAATCAGTTAATCAATATGTTTAGGTAGATACCAAATATCAATAGCCACTAAATGATCATTTGTGACAATAGTTATTTCTAGCATTATACTAAGTACTTAAAGACATAATATTAAAAACTTTGTATAGCTATCTATATTAAAATACAATTATTTAATTAGCTTTTTGGAAAGACCAGAAAGAAGCACATAAAACTTGAAGAACACTAGTAGCAAAAAAAGGTATGTTGATTAAGCGTCAATAAGTATTATTTATTGAATCCCATTAATTGTGAACTGATTAAGAACATATCGTTATTAAAATAAATGTGGCAACATTATTTTATATATTAACATTCCGATCTCTTTTTACTGCAACGAATTAAAAGAGTAACGTGACTCCATAGTCTACTAACTTGTATTTAGGTAAATAATAAAAATCCGGATTTCTTTACTAATAAAAAAACTACCTATATGTGAAAGTTGGTGAAGATGTTTGTTAGGTACCTATACAATTTCTTTCTAATCCGATTGATTAGAATGAAATTTGTATTCAATAAATATTAGGTACAAACATATAGATAGAGATGGGTCCATGGTTCCTATAATACATCCTAACATAACTAAAGATCTTAATCTATTTCATGCGAAAAAAACTATTCTTTTGTAATGACACCAAACTCTGCATGATTATTAAAAACAAAAACGTTATAAAGAGTTCAACTGACCTGTAAGATGCGGCTGTGAGGTGGGACTGTAGGGTGACTTGATTTGCGGGAATCCTGTGGACAAAGAATTACATTAATTAAGCGACAACAATTAAGTACGTTTCCTAAAGGAATTCCAATTTAAAACTCCTCGCTGCTTGGCGTGATTTAAGCTGCTCTCACCGAAACCAGCGCGCAGGCGTTTCTCACAATGGCCGACTTGAAATCGCTCTTTATTTTATTTATAACAATAGCCATGTATAAAATTTACATATAATGTAGAGAAAACATATATAAGTCGATCTTGATATTATTATATTTTAAATATAATGTGTAATTATGAAACTTTTAAGAATAAAATCATTGTTTATGAGCCAGTAATAATTATGTTGTATATTAGTAGGCAATAACATGAAACAATTATATTAGTTGAGTTGCGAAATTTAAACTAACTTAAATAGCTAATTCTTGTAATCATTTGCATTTTATTTTGATGTGATTAAACACTACTTAATTTTACTACAAATTTTTTAGTTTATTGGTTATGACTGACTGTAAGTACTTTAAAACTATTTAATTAAAAAACAAGATCTAATAAATATATGAGTTATAGTAAATCAATATTTGTTTGGATAATATCTGTAAAATGTCCAAACGATTGAAGTCTATTGTAAGTCCTATTGAATTTTTTTTTATACCACTGAGGTGGCAAACAAGCATACGGCCCACCTAATGGTAAGTGGTTACCGTAGCCAATTATAAGAAAAATAATATTAATTATTATAAATAAATATTTGGCTATTTTGGAACATAAAGCCTATATACGTAATTATTATAAAATATATTTGACGCTTAAAATAATTGCTAAGTTTGAGAATAGCCTTATAGGTAGTAGCGAGCCCTGACTGCAGAGAGATCCATCCGGGAAATGTAAGGCAGCCCGCATCTCGAGCTATCGTTAGGTAGTTTATGTTTTATCTAGAAACTGTGATGGAGCCTGTGATGCTTATTAAATTTTAGAAAATTAATAGGTTTAAAAATTTATCTTCTGGTAGTTTAACCCAACGGGATTTGAACCCACACCCCTTTGCAATCCATGCCCGATGATGTAATTGGAGTATTCCTAATTACATCACAGGATTACAGTTAGTCGGCAAATTTATCACTTGTGAAGAACCTAACTATTTTCATTTTTTTTAAGATTTATATGTTCACAAAAATCCGTATACCCACGTACATTATTGCAAACTATTAAAAAAAAATACTTAAAAATAAACAGAGAGCAACAACAAGCTTCATACTGTATTAGATGAACAAACAAACCAACAATACGTCTTAGTGAATAGCTATTGAAAAGGGAAAACAAAAAAATAAAAGCTTGTAAAAATCGAATAGGGACAAATCAAATCAAATTTCGCGAACGATAGACAATAAAGCAAGACAATTGGTGAAACCTGAGGACTGAGCGGCTGGCGAGATACCGGTGAAACGTCTACAAGTACGGCAAATTGGGTCGACAAGCTGGATACGAGTTGATTTATAAATTTGCAGAAGTTTATGTACCTATAAAAGTAAATCAGATTTTTACATAGTCGACACAGATGGGGTAACTTTTGATTTTGCAATGAGTTAACATTACACACTAAAATAATTAGGTACGCAACTTGCGTACATACATACAAGCAGTATTTTGCTAATTTTTTTAAACTAATTTGTTTTTTAAATTTCGAATTAGAATTTCAAATTAAAGCCAAGGAGAGAGCAGAGGTAAAACACAAGTTTAATTAAAATAACTAATACGATACACGAATTAAGGTTAATTATTATAAGTAGTCGTTGTACCTAATAAAATTTTTAAATTACATTATTTTTTATTTGCTTTAAAGTTTTCAATAAGAGTAACTGTTAAATGGCAAACAGGTTTCTCCAGAACAATAATATACCAATACCAGAATCATTAAAAATGCCCATTTAATTTAATCAAATATATTGTAGAAATTTCTTTATACCAATATCTATTAGAGAAAACGCGTCAGCTTTATTTCTTCAAACTGCAAAACGAAGTCGGCTGCAATAAGTACAATTGTAACAATATTAAGAAAAGAGGCCACACAATGGGAGTTAAACGTTTCCTCAATTATGTGGAGTGTAAGATAAATAAATAAATTGCAATACATTGCCGGCGCCCATTGTTGTGGTACGGAAACGAAGGTAGCGTGTTCCATTCCGTAGAGACATTTGTATGAGTGTACATGAGTATAGAAAGTTACATTCTTGTCCCAGTGTGACAGTATAATATGATACGGAAGCAATTTCATGCACTGCGCCTAACACTGCAACTGAACAAACATACGGATAAAAACATCCACAATTCCCTTTTAAACACAATCGTGTAATGTACAATGATGTAAGTAATAATTAGTGAATGTAAACTAAACTCTAAGAAATACATTGTATATTAATAGAGCGCTAATTATTTAAAAACTAGATTTTTAATTTTTATTTATTTGATTTCTTCTTAATAGAGATGAACAGGGAGAAAGGGATTGTTAGTAATACACCCTATCAGATCGATCTTCCCGTGGTCCCCCCTGAAAACCGTCGTGCTGAATTCAAGGTGTATTCACCACGATGGGCTAACTGACCTGCCTTTTCTTTCTCACCTATCATCCCTCACTGGTGTCTCGCCAGCGTATACCGTTAGCGCAGGCGGGGTTACCATTTCATTATCATCCATTAAAAAAAGAGATAGCAAAATCTACCTACGTTTTTTATTTATTATGAGTTTTTATATTTCGTTCGTGTTGTAATTTTGACAAATTTTCTCTTATTATTCGTTCACTGTTCGAATATATGGCATAGTATAAGAAAAAAGCTCCTACTTAAATTTCCGTACATAATAATTTAAGATTTTACGCCACTATAATCAAAACAAAATGAATATGAAATAGCACAGAAATAAACCTTATCGTTTACAAAAATCATTACCAAAACTATATTGGAATTAGCAAAAAATACTGCATAACAAATATTTGTTTAATTATTTATTTTTATTAATTTTCTATATAATATATTTTTGAAGTAACAAATCTATTGGTTTAGTAATTACTTTGTTAGTCAGATGTAGCTATATAGCTTACAGCATCAAGAGCTGTCTTAAAATAAATCGTTAAAAAAAGGTTACAATAGGTCGAGGTAAACAATACATAAAGAGGCTTACATACTAGCGCCGTACTCGAGCCAATCGGCATGATTGTCCCGACATGCGACAGTGGCCCACTTAACGCCGAGTCAAGCGTTCCGATTATTGGGAACATCTCCGTTGACACGATCATCTTTAATGACATGGAATTTAATGCTGATAATAATACTGTTTATTCAGCAAGATGAGATAACAGATAGCTAATTAATAAAATAAATATCAATAGTCACTTTTTGAAATGCGTTTCGTAAAAAAAATATTGTTTTATCGAAACATTAAATTGCTGTGGATAATAATGATGTGAACACACGCAATTTTTTTTTAAATACAGTGTGTGAAGAATAGTATGTGTAAATGAAATTATATTCTCATCATCATCCTGCCTTTATTCAAATTAGTTGTAGTTGGCGTTAATATATTTTCCTCTGCCAATCCTCTCTATTTGTAGTCTTTGCAGCAATAATTTATTTTCTTGTCATGTTATTCACTATCTCTTTTTTGTTTTTTTGTCTTTAAATAAAATTAATTATCACCTATTAAAATTCAAAATGTGTACAGGTACAGGTCTTCACATGTATTTTCACTTGTTTTTTCAACTTTCAAAGCTGTTCATAGATTCGAATATTCTTGAGTGGCAGATTCATACCAAACAATAATTATCCTCTAAATCATATGTCTTTCTTATACGTAATTAATTTAATTAAGTACTATGAAATATAAATAATTTAGTTATATCAATTAGATTTCGAGAGTTCATCAGAATTACTTTGTCTTCAACAAAATATTTATCTGTCAATTACACGTTGCTTATTGACACAAATTTATGGTGTATACACAAAAGAATATTACATTCTACTTTTTTAATAGATCAAAAGCATCCCATTATCAATTTGTATCAAATTACTTTCGTTTAATTAATAGAAACTTTATTGTAACGGATTTAATTCTACAGCCCCTCAATCAGGCTTGACAGGGCATGTCACGTAAATAAGACTTAACAAGGACTTGAATTCATAAAAGTAAAAATCACGATGAGAATAATTTTCCACGTTGATATGCCGACATTATTAATCGATTAACTCGAAGTTATTTCATCGAGGTACATGTAGATATTAAAGCTGTTAATGATTGTGTATTCTATTGTCTGTTTGCATGCCTATATAACGTTTATTAACGTCGTATACAATGTATATTTTTAAACGTGAGAATGTATGAAGTGTGTCGTTTATTAGGATAGTAATCAGTTAATTCGTGTCACGGTTCATTAGCGCGTTAGCACGGTGCTCGAGGCTCGAGCCAGGCAAATCGAGCGGCGCGCGCCGAGGCAGCCATATTTGTGGATACGTCACATTGTGATTCCTGACACGTCCGCGTGCCTCTCGTAACGGAGATCGCTTGTTGTTGCACGCGTTACATCTACTTAGCTTATTTTTATAACACTTTATAATACCTAATCGAAATTTAATGTTAATATAATTATAAAATAAATAACGATAATATAAGGTAGACATAATCATATATGTACCAGATATACGTGAGGTAATAGCCTCAGAATACAATAGGTGTGTCACCATTAATTTCATAAGAGCCGACTATAAGGACAAAGAACAATACTATAGAGTAATAAAAGATCCTACCTATAACTATTCTGGATTACAAGAAATTCTAATAATCATAATGAACCTGAATTGCTGTCGTGCTCCTGTGCAGGTTAAAGTGATCGAGTCACTAATGCTAGAGGTAACCTTTCAACTTTATTCTTCAAGAATAGAGATGTATGAGATATACATGTTACAGATAAAATCAAAGGGATAGTTTTGTTTATTATTTTCGTTGACCTGTGAAAATGAACATAAAACCACAAAATAAGTTT